TATGTATATATATGTGTATATATATGTGTGTATATATGTGTGTATATATATGTGTATATATATGTATATATATGTGTATATATATGTGTATATATATATGTATATATATATACACATATATATATACACACACACACATTTTTACTATAATTTTATGAGACAATTACAGTATTGAGCACTGCCATCTGCAGGTACTTCTGCAGGCTTAAACTTCTTCTTTTTCTCAGGCTGCAGCTTCCATTTGTTCATTATGTCGTAGCTGATGTAGTGATCATGTGATTAGGAACCACTCTGATTAGTTGCCAGTCATTAACTAGGATCGAAACGGTAAGTGACAGACAAGTTTAACAGCCATGGATGATGTCGGCTGGTAGCTGTCAAAGGAATGAAATAGATGAATGTATCTTGCTAGCTGTCAAACATGGCTGTCACTGACTTTATTAGCTGCAAGAAAGCTGCTTGACAGTGGCTGAAAGATTTTTAAATTCCCCTGCTAAAACTTTTTGTATAGTCTGCTTTCTTACAAACTGAAGCTAGCGTCTATTAGGTATCAGTGAACCAAACAGAAGTTTGGTTTACTAGATGTTCTCCGAACCCAGTGTGAAATCCAAAAACTCGGAACATACAGGGTTATTCTGGTCACTTTCTAGTTCAGCTATGTTGTCCTAGATTGTTCACTTCTCCTGTCTTCTCCAAACACTTCACTCTTTTGTGAATAACCCTGATAATGTCTGAACCCCACTGCTGCCTATCAGAGCTAAATGTTGTTGTTTTTTTTCCTTAACTTTTGTAAGGGCAATTTGCAAGCTTTTGTAAGGGGTCATGGGTAGCCGGGTACTGCCATGAAGGATAATAATTAAGTTTAATGCAGCTTAAAGGACAACATAAAAAATACATAATTCTTTTAAATAGCATACTTGAGAGATGCCTTCAAGCTGCATGTGAAGATGTTGTACTCCAGCAAAAGGGACAGGCTGCATGCCTGGATAAGGGTCTAGAATGGAATTCAATAGGGACCACAGGAAACAAAAGAAAAACCAGACATGGGGTCCTCCTCAAAATCCATACCAGAGCTCAATCCAGGCATGAGCCTGGCTGCACAGTAAAGAGGGTCTGTGTGTGAGTGCACCCCCTTTCTAAAAAATACTAGAACACACGATCACAACCTTGGGGAGGATACTTTGCCAAGAGAGTGGTAAAGTCCATCTTGACATGGGCCTCACACCCACAATTCCTGGCTCTGTGGATGTAGGGGGAAGATGTATCAGAATCTAGTAGCCCCTTTTAAACTATGAGGAGTCCCAGATATACGACCCTCCCTCCTTTATCCTAAATAAAGGTATGGATGGATTTTGAGCCACATACTACAGCCAAATATTTTAAATTAATATGCCAGTACACCTAGTTTTCTATGTTTTTGTGCATAGTTGAGTCAGTTAGCCTTGTTTCCAGATCAGGGGTATGGCTTATTGGCCGCAAGGTCGCAGAAAAATGGCAACATGTGATCTGGACTGATAAGTCAAAATTTGAAATATTTGACTGCAGCAGGAGGCTGTCAGGATCCAGGACTGGAGAACGGTACAATAATGAGTGTCTGCAGGCAACAGTGAAGCATGGTGGAGGTTCCTTGCAAGCCTGGGGCTGCATTTCTGCAGATGGAGTTGGAGATTTGGTCAGGATGAATGGTGTCCTCAATGCTGAGAAATGTCATTAAGAATTGTCTTCAGTACAAAGCAGAACAAGTGATGGTTTGACCCCCACATAGCCTTGATCTCAACATCATCGAGTATGTCTGGGATTACATGAAGAGGCATGCCTACATCCACAGAAGATTTGTGGTTAGTTCTCCAAGATGTTTGAGACAACCTACCTGCTGAGTTCAGTCACAAACTGTGTGCAATTGTACCTAAAAGAACTGATGCTGTTTTGAAGGCAAAGGGTGGTCACACCAAATATTGATTTTAATTTGGATTTCTCTTCTGTTCATTTACTTTCCATTTTGTTAATTGATACAAATAAATTATCAACACTTTTATTTCTGAAAGCATTCTTACTTTACAGAATTTTTTCAGACCTGCCTAAAACTTTTGCACAGTACTGTATATATACAGTATTAACTGCATACCTGTTTGCATTGCATTTTGGTTTTACTATTACCATATCATCATCCCTTCCCCTTTTTCCCCTGATACACCTGACAGAATATTTTAAAATGTTAGCTTACCAACAAAAAAATAATCATATGTGAAAGTCAGTAAAAGACCTTGCTTTACACGGATCTGAATGGCAATGAAACGTTTATGGCCACATACAAGGTTTTCATGCCTGATTTGTCTTTTGGCCCAAAAAAACAGTACAAGCCTAACCTGATCAGAAAGTTTCCTGCTGACATCCATACTGAGATGATACAGTAATTATCTGCTCTGTCATGAGTATTCCTGCTATGAATTTTACCTACAAATACACCAACTTGAAAGTGTTCCAGCACAAACTCTCTATATTGCGGAAGAAAAAATACATTGAAAGGCAGAGGGAGCAGTTTAAGCATCCCCATTTAAATCAGTGCTTCCATAAACCATATAAAATTGCGGTCTTAATTCAGAGAATGGCACAATTTTATTCACTTCTGTATTTCATTGTGAGCATGTTTTTTTAAAGCAATTACAAAATGCCCTTACATTAATCAACTGAACCATGGAAAACATAAAGTACGGGTTATTGTAAGTAGTCAAAAGTGAATATATGTCAGCTTAACTTGGTAACTTTAGTACCGCAGTTTTCCCAAAGAAAAGGCAGAACCCGGTAAACACGGAGCACTGGCCATTCCACTGATTGCATCTGCAGTCTCATAACATTTATGCAGCACATACCAAACATGGGTCACATAAGGTGGACTAGCAAAAGTAACCATGTTCTTGGTGATCAAGTATGACAATCAGTAAGAGGTATCTTCTTTAAATAAATAGTTCAGCTGAGTATTTACAGAATTTGAGATCAAGATATAAAAGAGACCCGTAAAATATTTTTTTTAGAAATAAAATAAATTACATTTTCAGAGCATGGGGACACTCATCTTATTCTGTTAGGGCTGCCATCCCCTACACCAGGCATGTCAAATTCAAATAAAACACTGAGGTGAATTAAGTGGAATGCATCTTCAAGGTACCGCATTGTCTATTGATGGTGACCCTACTTCCATGGAAAAGCATTTTGGTACTGTTAGAAACAATTGCAACGTAAACCATTTCATCCCAGGGAAAGGAACCCCAATACATTTTCTAAAATATTGAGATAAACAATTATTTAAGGAAGTGATGTTATCCACTGGATAACTGCTAGGGCAGCAAATAAAGTATGCTTCTTTTCCCCTAAAAACAAAAACCTGCCTGAAACATACCAGTGCTGGAGCACCAGCAAACCAATGAGTCAATCTCTGGGAAACATTACTATTCTTTTGCTAAGAATAGACATACGTTGTTCCATTAATGACCTTCTTTCATTAGTGGATGCATTAGCAAACCTTTTTTTTTATTTGTTTTAGTTTTAGATACAGTAGGGAATTGTTAAAATCCATCAATTTTTTGTGCATTTTTTTTCCTTTAGAGAGAATTTACCTTGACTTTCTATCTGGGAGACAGAAAAGGAAGTAGGAGAAAATCTTTACAAAGCGAGGGGAATATACCACTTAGACAGGTTTTTTTTTTTTTTTTTTTTTAAGGAGGGGGTCCTTATTGGAAGCATTTTTTTTTTTTTTTTACAGCAGGGGTCCTTATTGGAAGATTTAGGGCTTGTTCACACCATGTCTGTTGAGCTGCAGTTTTCTGTACACCACCAAACAAAACATTTGTTTGTGGCACTCGTTGATCTGTTAACAACTCTAAAGCTATCAACCCTGCCCATGTGGGCACTGCCCTGCTTGAGAGAAAAGTCAATTTTCCAATCAACTTTTGTTGCAGGAGTCAAGTGTAAAATTGTGAGCTGAACAGTGACTGTATCCAGTCAGATGTAGTCACTGTTCAGGTGTTCAGCAGCCCCATTTGCCGGCAGCTGCTAAATACAATAGCCAGCAGCAGAGATTTCTTCATCCATGCTGTTAAGAGGTAATTGATTTCTCTCATTCTAAAGGTGTGTGACTATCTTTAAAATGTTAGATTTCACATCAATTTCTCTATTGGGGACAATGGTCACTAGGACAAATAGAGAATGTTAATCCACCCAGCAGGGACACAGACAACCATAACTGTTTGGCAGGGGTTGTAATCTTTTCCAAAACTAAAAACTTTCATCTGTACACAAATTTAAAAAAAAAACAATTTGAGTGTAGGTTTCTTTTTCGAGAACAGCACGTGCAATAAGATGCAATTAGGGGGCACATGCTATCCAGATATTTAAGATAGATGAATGATGGTCAATGTTGTTATGCAACAAAATATTTAATATTGTGCATTCTCCAAAGAAATCACAGAAAACCACATGGAATTATCACTTAAACTTTTACACACACAGCTTGCTAGATTTGAGATTTGAGATGTTATCTGTATTAAAATGATTGTGCCTATGAGTCCCTGTGTTCAAGTTCTTCTACAGATAGTAGCTCCAGGCCTATGCTGTAGACTTGTCAACCAAGGTGCCAACCTCCAGCATTTCAGGGTCAGAGGTTTGGGATTACAAGCTGATGACCTGTACAGTCATAATAGATTTAGAGACTCATTTACAAGACTCATTTACAGCACACTTTTTTTTTTTACTATAGAAAAAAACTTGCAATAATTTGTTACATATACACAGAAATAATATGGTAAAGAGAATTTTTGCATCTTTGTCAAAAAGAAAGCCATTTTTTTTTTCTTGATTGACACATTTGGAAATCACTCACTTTTTACTTAACATATTTACCTAAACGTGTACCATGAAGTTGAAATGAACCATGACTGCAGAATTTCCAATTTATATAAAATCATTATTTACAAGGCAGTTAATCCAACATCCCAGACTATTGTTTGAGCTAAAAACCACTTCTCGATTATATACAGTACATAAAATACATTAAACCCCGAAAAAAATATACCAGCCCTGTGCCTCTACTTGGCTCCTCTAGATTGGTGCAGGTTGGGTATTGTACTTCTCCAGCAATGTGCACAAAGTCAAGTTTAAAATAGTAAAGCAAAAATGCTCTGTTCATAAAAAAAAAAAGTCAGAATCTTCCTATAAAAGTTGCAGATAGCACTGGATGGTAATGATGAATTTCCATGTCAGTTAAAATGTTGAGTTTGAACTGTATATGCCAGAAGCAAGGAGTCAGATCAGTTATTGTCATCGCTTATGTGCTGTCTCTTGTATTAGGTTAAAGGTATCAGTAGCTGTTATCTTCGTCCAAGGTATCCTGATTGTCTACTTGCTGCTTTCACACAGGAAGCACAACAAGCTGTCTTATAGTAGGCGTATACACAAAGCCGAGCTTGCACTACCACGTTGCAGTTGTAGTATTTGTCTTTGCATGTTTCATCTATTACAGAGGAATAAGCAAATCAATTTATTAGATGATGATCTGTTTTCCTGGGTCCAGGTAATATTACTATTCTATTATGCTCTATCCTGATTCCAAATGAAAACCCAGTTAAACTTCAATCTCCTTTAAAATGCAGCTGGAATCATTACCATCGTTCAATCAAAAAAAAAGATTGGCATGCACTGTATAGTGAAGATATTAAATAACCCAGGTTCCATGGTTCCCCACAGCTCTCACTGATTCCTTCTCTGACCTTATGCCATTACTATACTACAGCAAAGTGAGGTTAAATCTACACATCTGAAAGTGTGTGTTACAAGGTTTTACTCTTTACCTAATTTATACCTGGCATATTAAAAACTGGTCCACAAACTTTCATAGCAGACACGCACAGGTGCATATTCTAATTTGATAATTATTGTAATATATAGCAATTTTGAAGTAGCATATTGTGACTAATGACTTTAACATTAGAGTTCATAACCTTAATTAAACTCTTTACTGTTATCAAATTGCTTAGCACATACCCATGATACTAGTTCTATTAACATACATTTTTTAATAATCAGAATCTTGATGTACTGTACCTAAAGACGAGACAGGTTTGATACCATCAAATACATTTTTTGTGCTTTAACAAAATGTTTTTATACTTAATACATTTAGAAATATCCAATTGTCAATTTGGTCTGACCAGTTGAGACTTTTACACCATACTGGATTTCTCCTGTTCTTCCCATTTCTTCATCTTATTCCTTCTCCTTACATAGATTTGTTTGTCTCTTTGAGATACAACCAAGACTTATAGGGTTATTCACTAAGCTGCCGAAGGCAGCCGAGTGAATAACCGAGCCGAAGTGAACAGAGCCGAACAACGTTTGGCTATTAACTCTGGCTCAGTACCGCTGAGTCGCAGCTAAGGCAGCTCACTCGTTGCCGTTCATCCCTATTCTCATATGATATAATGTAAAACGTTACAAAATTTGAAGATTAAAAGAAATAAAAATATTTCAAACATTTAAAAAAAAACAATTGGGCGTAGCGAACAGTGACAGCTAGATCCGCCCAACTGTTTACTATTGGCCACCACCTGCTAGAGTCTACTATCAGGTCCCGGCCAATGAATAGCAACTGGGCAGAAACGGCCATGACGTTATGGCTGGCTCCACCCAGTTAATGTTTAATGAAAAATCAGCGTCCCCAGGTCTTTTGGGGATGCTGATCAGTCATTACAACTGGGCAGAGCCAGCCGTGAGATCACGGTTGGCTCTGCCCAGCTGTCTTTTGGCAGGCCGTTCGCCCCACTTCGGCTGTCACTTCGGCACAGTCGAGCCGAACCATATGCCTTCGACTGCTGTATGGGCTATTGCGAAGGATGGAGGCGGCAGAAGAGGGCCGAAGGATCAGCTGAAGCTACGGCTGCATCCTTCAGCTCAATAGCGAATAACCCCCTTTGTTGTTACTAAGCTATTTTAGTTCAAATCCAGTGTAATTTGGATCGACTCCCTAGGGCTCTTACCAAAAAGTGCAAGCATACTCTGCAGCCTAAAGAGAACCTGTGAATACAGAAATATGGGTGCTGTCACCACTGATTTTAAAGGTGCAATCTCCACTGCTGTCATCTTCATCCTGTCATGATTACTTAGAGAGCCACTGACCTGAAACAGGGATACAGGATCAGATTTCTGACATTGCTGCCTGCATGCTTATTCCAGGCCAACAACGCATTGATAGTGTAACCAGGATCATGGTGCTATTACCCAATTCAGCATTGGGAGTTGCCCACCTGTCCTCACAGTTTCACTTTAAGCAATGAGACAAGCAGACACCTCTAGATGCTTATGATTAGGGTCTATAGACAGAGAGAAACATGCAGGCTATTCATTGATAATTCCTTATTCTGCAAATGCTAGCTGTATGACTATCATGCAGACCATAATTGTTCAATGAACATGAAGACCTTTTGGGTCAGCATAAAGCCAGGCAACTAGTGGAAGTGTATTGTCATGGATGTTTCCTAGCAGTGATAGCATATATTACCTATCTCTGGGATGCAGTCCTGGGTATTACAGGTCTCTCTGTCTTCCGGCTTAAGTTCTGCTTCACATTTGTCACTGTGTGATATGTCATCTGTGAGGCATCGAACTTCACGGACCCGGAAACCACCTTCACATGATTTGGAGCACTAGAAGAATCAAGAGACATGTCAGATTTTCACAAATTAAGCGGTTTGGTAGATTTAGGACATCATTTCCCAAAGGTAAACATTATAGTTTTACCTACTGTTACAACATGAAGATTTTATTAATAGAATATAACAACTTGGCCAGTTTGCAGGAGGAGCCATGCTTTGCTTTCAATAAAGCCTATTGACATTGTGAAGCACAAAAACTCAGCTGTCTGCATACTGGAGGTTTGTTCATTTGTGTTGTACAGAAAAGCCATAGAAATCTCAGTTCATGCTTGTGTGATAGGCTCACTGACATAACAGTTAAATTTCTGCCATCCACTGCAATATGAGTTTCATTTTTGCTGAGTTAGGGCTAGCTCACACCAGTCCCAGTGCGTTCCGGGCCGGTTGGTGCCGGAACGCAGTGGATCGCATTTCTGCCGCCTCACTTTCTTTTGGGGCAGGAGGGGGTGTGGCGGTGCATTGAAGTCTGGCACTGCAGCCACGCCCTCCAGTCGCAGTGCGATTGCACTGGAACGCGTGGTACATCAGTTTCTGCATTCTGGTCCGGTGCTGTCATAAAAAATAGTGCATGCAGCATTTTTTCTGACCGCACCGGACCGGAACGCAAGGCACTGATGTGCCACACATTCCGGTGTGGGCAATCGCACTGTGGCTGGAGGGCGTGGCTGTGGTGCCATTGACTTCAATGCACCACCACGCACCCTCCCGCCCCAACACAAATTGAGCCGGCCGGAATGCGATCCAGTGCATTCCGGCCCAATAGGGGGCTGGTGTGAACTAGCCCATAGGCATGCAGATGATATACCTTTTCTTTAAAAACACTGTGATTGCTCAGGGTTTTTTTTATAATGAATCAAACATAAAAGGAAAGCCCTCTAACATCTCTGAACCAAATCCACTGTTAGCAACCATGGTGATCAGGAGAAGGTCTCTGCTGGACCCAAACAACTACATATATTCAGAAACTGGCACATGAAGGTGATCATCCCAATATAAATGTTGTTTCCATATGGCATCAAAACATCATACAAAAGATCATTGACGTGTTCCAACCCTTCAAACAGGCCTTTGTCACAACTAGCTATGACAAAGGCCTGTTGGAAGGGCTAAAACGCATCAACAATCTTTTGTATGCTATTTTAACACCATATGGAAATAAAGTGTATATCAGGATGATCACCTTCATGTTCCGGTTTTTAATTATGTTTTTATAATGGAGTCCAACACTATATCAATTTCATCAAGACAGGGAAAGGTAAGATTATGCAATAAAGTTAGCTCAAATTCTTGCAATGCATATAGGACAAGTTACCTGGAGGGAATTGTATTTTTTATTAAATAACAAAATGCACTTTCACTTTAATAGTCTTGGCACATATGGGATTCAGCACCATATACACACATATGGGATTCAGCACCTGAGCTGAACTTCTGAGTTTCATGGGGACACCAGAGATTGAGCCAACACATTGCAGCTGCACACAAAAGTACTCCCTTCCCTCACTCAGAGGTTCAGAGAAAAACAAAATCTTGTTCACATTGTGATTTATATCTCAAATACGGAAAATTATACAAAGCCAATTTTAATTACTACTTGAATGTAGCCATAAGAAGAATCGTTCAGAAGAAGAACATTTATCAAACACTTAGCTGTTTACTTGTTTTTAAGTAGCCGTGCAAACAAAATACACTTTAAAGGGCCTTGAAGCAAGTAAACAAGTTGCCAACAATAAAGAAACTATGAATACTTGTTCACATATATGAAGGCTGGATTCCCATTCTTTCACAGACCTTGAGATAACCCACACAGTATGCTGTGTAGTATAGCGAAGAACAGTTCAATGTTACCAGTCAAGGCACTACAAAGCTAAAGGTCCCTTGATGAAAGTTAGCTCTTTACAAGTAAATAACAGCTCTATCAGCTCATCAGACTATACCCAGTAATCTGTAAATGTTGTTTTTTTGAACCATGAAAGTTAAGGACAGCTTAAAATTAACTTGTGGCCAGGCTATGGTCCAGAAGTAGGCAATCTCAGTCATTCAACTGTGCTGAAACTACAAATCTCATGGGGAACTGCAAGACTCCCACAGGCATGACTCCCTGGCCAGAGGAATGATGCAATTTGTAGTTTCACCACAGCTGGAATGCCAAGGTTGCGAACTCTGGGCAGGAAAACTATTAACCCTTGCAGTGGGGCTACCCCTGCACTGCAAGGGTTAAGTGCTAGCTTTCATCTAGGGACACACATATATATACTCACCTAGGGATGCACCGATACTAGTATCAGTATCGGTGCTGATACCGAGTATTTGGGCGGATACTCATCCAAGTGCTCCGATACCTTCCCCGATACCAGTACTTCCAGGCTACCTTTCCTGATACCGGCAGTGCCATAGGGGAATATGAAGCCAGCTTCCTGGGCAATCAGGAAGTCGGGTGGTGAGTAACGGCCCACCCCCTGGTTTACTGATTGGTGGGAAGCCAGCTTGATGCTTATTGGCTGGCTAGCCGGTTTGCTGGACAATCACAAACGTGCTGGCCAAACAACATGGAGCCTGCTTTCCAGGCAATCGAGAAACCTGGGGGAATGTTATTACCCACGGCCCAGCTTCCTGATTGTCCGGGAAGCTGGCTCCATGCCAGTGGAAGCACTGGTATTTGTACTTGGTATCGGCAAGCAGTGAAAACAAAATATCGTTACTCGATACAGAAAAAATGGTATTGGTGAATCCCTATACTTCACTGAACCTCGTAGATAGCTGGCTGCTAGACTGGTCCCTATACCCTCTTTGCTTCAGCTGTCTAAAGTCCTGTGAGTCATCATATCCTATAAAGTGTATATAGAATGGGAGAACGCCAAGGGACATTCCATTGCCAAAGCAAAGGAGGAGACAGGCTGCAGGAACTGGTCTAGCAGCCAGCCAGCTGCAAGGTTCATGTGAGTGTATCTTTATCCCTAGGCGAGAATGATCACTTAACCCTTGCAGTGCGGGGTGGCCATACACTGTACAACCATCGCAAGACCTTAGTCTTGCGACGGTTGTAAAGTGATTAAAAAAACGTACGATCTGCCCATCTTGGACAGGCAGATCGTACTCTCGATGATCGCAAGCCCGCCCCCCTGAGGGGCGGGCTTGCGATGATCGCAATGCTGAGCGGGCAGTGTGCGCACACCGGCCCGTTCGGCATTTGTCTCCCGAGCACCGTTCAAAACAGCCGAAAATCGTACGATTTTCGGCTGGTTTTCTAGCATGCTCCTTAGACAAAAGACGTGCGACCGTACAGTCGCACGTCTTCGTTCACACTGCTCGATTCTCGTAGGATCGCGGGATTTCGCGCGATTCTCGTACGAGAATCGAGCAGTGTATGGGCACCTTAAAGGGGGGAATGCCCTCAATTTCTTGAGGGACATCTAGTGCTCACATAGAAACACAGTGGCAGCTTTGTTTATAAAGCCATGTAAGTCGTCACGTCAGCTAAGTGCTGCCGATGAATGTCAGTATGCAAAAAAATGGTCCACTAATCCCTAGAGGCGACACGGCTGTATTTTTTTTAAGCTAGTTACTAATTTGACCTGAAGTTCAGGTGCAAAAATCACATACAACTCTATACCTAACATTCACCATGATAAGTCCTATTAGTTTTAACGAATCTGCCATTGAGCCATTGGGGTTGATTTACTAATCTTATAAACACGCCACGAACAAGCATACACCTCTGTAGTGTGTTCCCTCCCAGCATGATCTATTGGTGGAATCTAGACACCTTTGTAGTGTGTACACACCCAACAGGTGTGTTGTGCAAAGCCCTGCATGAATTGCAAGGTGATGTTGTGTAAATTAGCTCTACATTGTGTTGCTTGCGTTGATGAATGCAGGAATGTAAATGCATAAGCTAACCATTTTTGTCTAAACTGTGAAGCAGCATTATATATGCATCATGTGCATGATTTTTCCATATATGGCATTAGTGGAAATATGCTTTTAGAGACTTTTTGGTTGATAAATAAGTTTTGCTGTGTAAAAATCACAGGCACCTAGTGCGTGCGTGTGTTTAGGTTAGTAAATCACCCCCACATAGTTAATATTCTCAGAGGAGTCATCTTGTTAGCCTAGTTTATTGATTATCCTGTTATATGATCTGGGGATTGTGTTGAGATGGGAAAATGAGACATTGTTTGACAAAATATGCCAATTTTCTTACCAACGAGAGAATATCTGCTACGGTACTATGAGTACTTGCTTATACTGTATATGTGGTCTACATTTTAGACTGAAACTTCTTTAAAATTAGAAGTAAATTGCTATAAAAATATTTTTTAAAACCTACCGTACTCCATTCTGTGTAAAACCATTTTGCACCACAAGATTTGAGATGGCAGGATTGCTGATTTGGTGGTTTCTCCAAAAAGGAACATTCATGTGGCTGCACCACAGAAAATCCCTCGACAGTCTTTCTAATACAAATTACATCTCTTTGTTGGGTTCCAGAACCACATTCAACTGAGCACTGTAGACAAAGTACACATATGAATTAGAAGGTTAGCTTGCATTATACAAAAAGCCTAAAATGTGAGTCAATCAGTATATTTGGTTAGTAATTGATACATTATTCAAATGATCTGAAAACATGCTAAATATTCATATGCACTTAGTTTTTAGTGATGTTGAAATCCTAACAGATTCCGGCTCTATAAAACAGTTTTTTATAATCCAATAAATACTTCCTAAAAACACTCTGGATAGCACTCTGGATACTGAGCATATTATCTGTGAAAACCCATTTTCTATTTATTCTTTCTAATGCATGAAAACAGTAACCTAAATCATCACTTATTTCAAAGGCAATTACTAGTCATGGAGATTTTATTTTGATCTAAGAATTAATGTATCTGCATACATCAGATTACAATAGGCCTATATACAGTATATGTAACACATACCCATATCATCATTTTCATTACAGTTAAATAATGATATTTAAAATGAAACATCACAGCAAATACAAACTCATTAACTTTGTGAATGTTAGAAATAAATATTTTGGCAGTAAAAAGCACTAATGTTAGCAGCAACTGTGTGATTTGCAACTGACACTTTACGGGATGTGTCGACAAAATTGTAACACCATTGAAATAATAACACTGCATTTAAAGTGATGTGAAGCCACAAAGGATAATATTTGCTTTTTAGGAAATTGTAAATAATTTGGGTACTTTATAAATAGTAGAGTAGATATTAAATCATTTCTAGGACCACTGTATATAGAAAAGGATAATGCAGGCAGTTTGTTTTTTTACCACACTTGGTGATCTTAGCAGGAAAAGCTTTTCTTTCCAATTTACGAAAAAAAAAATTGTACATCTGCTAAATTTACCACATGCATGTTTTATTGATCTTTGTGATGTTCTGAATCTAAAGGTCTAAAATCAAAGATTATTACCTGGGTTTTGTCTCCTAAAATACAGCTTGGTCCTGACCACTCATTTTACACACACAAAAAAAAAAAATAGGTCAATACTAATGCAATATTTATTTCCTGTCCAGCTCCATGGCAGCACACGAATGGGTTAATCCCTCCCTCCTCCCCTAATCAGGATCGTAACTCATAAAAGCTGAAAAAGAGTCCCCTGGCTTGCCGTTCCCTTTTTGTCCTCCTATATGTCAGGATCCGAGCACGGTGCCTACCTAGCAGGGATAAAGTTCTTGCTGTCCGCCTTCTTCTTCTACCTCCTTCAGTTGGCGGAGTCCCTGTGAGCCCTTTCCTAAATGGTGCAGGTCCATGGGAGCCCCGCTGGTGATCCTCGGGGCCTGGTGAACAAGGTGTAAGTACACTGCTGTTGCTCATTATGGGTGGAGGAGATATTGCTACTTGGTCTGGGCGCCTAAAGGAGCCCATGCACCTTACAATTATCTGGAGATTTCTTGTCTTTCAGCAGAAAACATTTGTCTGTTTGGATGTCAATTGACAAGTTAATGGCGTGGTTGTACAATGAAAATCTCTAGATGCAAACTGCACATGCTCACACGAAAGTTTGTCCTTTTGATCAATATAAATCAGCTAGGTGGTGTTGCTGACAAGCGTTATTTATGAACTGCATTGGTCTGTGCATGATGGGTTAGTTGTAAGAAAATTGTATGAAGGTGTGATGTCTGCACAACAAAAGTTTTACAATGGTTGTAAGTTGTATGGCCACCTTTACATATGTGATTCTGTGGTGCTGCTCCTGCCTAAGCTGACTCTTGCAGGTATTTACCTGAAACACCCATTAGCTTGCTTTTAGGTGCTTTAACACCACAGGTGCTTGCTGAGTGCAGGCTGCTGCCACTTGTAGCTCTGCAACTAAATCTTTTAACTCGATCTTACAGATAGGTGTTTGCTAACTCTGTCAGCTTCATCTTGTGCCCTAACTCTTGGATGCTTTCTGGGTGAGTATTTTGCTGTCACCTGTGGTTCCCTAGCGTTGGTAATGTTTAAAATGTAACTTATGGAGTTGTTGCTTCATTGCAGGCCTATTCTGCCTGTTATTCGGTATTCCTTCTTGTGTATTTCCATGTATTGTGTCAGTGACAAGAGCCTGTGCTGCCGCTGTTTGCTCCTTGCTGTGCTGTCTGGGGCTCCCAGCGGCGGTGTTGAAACGCACGCTGTGCATTCCACTGATGTTTCTGCCGCTGGGGACCTTCCGGCCACTGCATTGGAAGACTTGCGGCGGCAGGTGGAACGCACGCCTTCAGAGATGGCTGTCTGTTCTGAGCCTGGTGGTACTCAGTCAGCCGAGCTGCAACATTCATGGCACCAGTAAGTGCTTATATTGATCGTTAGCTGATTATTGTAGTTGCTGTTGGTTGTGCTAGCATTTTTCATGCATGCACAGCATGCCTCTGGGCATATCCCCACCCATCAAAGATCACCAGTCGCAAAGAAGGTAGGTGCCTGCTCCTCATCATGGTTTGCTGTCTAAAAGTCAGCCTTTTTTTTGTATCATATACCTACCCTGTGTTCGTTCCGTCCAGGTCCGGCTCGCGCCATGTTCAGGAGCGCAGTAAGTCCTCTGCGTCTAGTTGAGGGAGATCATCGTCTCCAGAGCAAGACACTCGTCGTTCCGACAGAAGATTTCGCAACCGGTTTCTGTCTGTAAATCAGCGGATTGCCTCAGCGCATCCTGGGGCCCTCCCACTACCCTCAGCCCCTTTGGGGGCTTATTGGGCATATACCAGTATGGCTTTATCGGAGAAAACAGCGTGTGAATCATGTTGTCAGAGGCCACTACAGACAAGGAGGCAGGTATATGCAAGTTATTTATTTACTGCAGAAAGTCTTTCAGGATACCCTCAGAAAATGTTTCTTCTGCATAGGGTCAGTCCTTAAACCAGCCTACTATAGATCCAGCTTAGGAGTCTAGTCCGGACCCTTCTAGAGCTGGCCGCAGTCAGGAGTCCTCCGGACCCCATTCTGATTCTCCCTCTTCAGATGAAGAATGTATCCAGGATGAATGGAGTCAGGTGGATGGGAAGTATTCCTTTGGAAATAGATTCTCTAGACTGTATCCTTTTAAGAAAGAGGATCTTAAACACTCAGATGATTCGCCTGTGGCCAATGCGGCCTTAATGAGGCTGGCAAGGCATGTCACGCTGCCCCTTGGTGACGCTGTTATCTTTAAGGATGTCTTGGGCAGATTTGGATCTTAAAAAGATCTATCTCTTGGCCGGTGGGGCCTGCAAACCTGCAGTTGCTATGGCAGTACCTTCCAAGGCCCTGAAGGCTTGGGTGGGCAGCGCTGAAGCAGCAGTTTCAGAGAATCTTAGTAAATCTAAGATCTTAGACGGCTTCAAGAATATCAGATTGTCTTCTACATTCTGCACCGAGGTTCGGTCGATGTTAAATTTTAGCCAGAGTTTTGTTGGCCGCAGTGGCGGGCAGAAGGGCTCTGTGGCTCAGACCGTGGGTGGCAGATCCCACATCCAAGCAGGGATGTTGTAATTCCATTTGGGGGTCAGTTGCTACTCTGAAACAAACTAGACATCGCAACATCGAAGGCAACTGGAGGTAAGGCATACGGTGCAGTCTCTCTTCCCCAGAAGAGGTTCCGGGCACAAAGCTGTGCAATCCCGGGTACCCTATCGTACCTTCTACTGTTAGTGTCTCATTGTCTTCAGATTGTCGGGTCCATGATGTCAATGCTTCCTGCAGCCCAGTGGGCCCAATGGCGAACTTGTTTCTTTCAGACCGGGTTCTTGCGGCAGTGGAAGCCAGAAAGTCTGGACCACCTTATTTGGATCTCTCCCCAATGCGTAGCAACCTGGGGTGGTGGTTCATGGACTGCAACTGACTAGGCTGTCAGTCTCTCCTCCTTACCACGTGGACCGTGAATTCCTCAGCTACAAGAGAATGGGGTTGGGGTGCCGTCTGTCTGAGCGAGGGTGCTCAGGGCCACTGGTCCTTCCTGCAGTGGGGGTTTGTCTCCAATGTCCTGGAGCTGAGGGCAGTGTTTCAGGCGCTATTGGCCTTCCAGCGATTTATCCTGGGGAAGTCAGTTTTGATGTAAATCCACAATACCTCAGCGATGGCTTGTATCAGGAGACAAGGGGGTGCACGCAGTGGTGCCCTGCTGGAAGAAGTCTCTACTATTATTACCTGGGCTCAGATCCATCTTCACTTATTGGCAGTGTACGTGTCGGGTCCCCTCAATCACCAAGCAGATTATCTATCCAGAGTTCCTCTGGACAACGACGAGTGGTGTCTCCTCTGTTAAGTATTTCAGAACACGGTGTCCTGGGGCTTGGCTCCAGAAGTAGACCTATTTTTGTCCCGAACAAACACCGAAGTCGTGAAGTTTTTCTCGAAGTTTACATGTGTACAAGCGGTGGCGATGGACGCCCTGACAGCAGAGTGGACATTCGGACGGCTTGCGCCTTCCCGCCAGTCCTTTTTCATACTACAATTTCTGAGGAGATTCTGGAGAGAATAGGTGGCTGTCCTGGCAGTGATTCCGAACCGGCCCAAGGGGCCTTGGTATCCTCTCCTCCGCCTGATGGGTATCCAGCCTCCACTATTCTTACCGCCATTGACCGATCTTCTTTCACGGTCTGATCCTTCACCCAGCACCTGTGAAACTTTGCCTAGCAGCATGGATATTGAGAGGCGTAGACTTCTCACATTGGGTTGCTCAGATAGGGTAGTCAATACTCTTCTTCATTCTAGGAAGCCCAGTACTACTCGTCCTCGCATTAAACGCTGCCTTTCTAGTTGCTATCACCTCCACCAGACGGGTTTTGGAGTTGGCCGCTCTTGAGTTTAAAAAACACTTCTTCACTTTCCTGGCTGATGGAGTGATTCTAGCTCCCATGCTGAGGTTCATTCCCAAGGTTGTGACTGACTTTCACATACACCAAGAAATTGTATTACCAACCTTCAAGTCGGATGATGGGGGCCAGATTAGCCGCTTGGACGTAGGTGATACGCTAAAGTCATATATTTTGGCCACGGAAGAGCTCAGGTCTACGGGTCAT